ATGAGAAAAAAATACCTATTGAATGTACAAGGTGAGTCAAAATTCGATGTAAATATCTTATATACGTATTGTTGGGAACAAGATAAAACTTTTTCTTCACATAATGATGTGGCCTGAAATGCACCTCCTTCGAGCTAGTCACTGTAAGTTGGGTGAAAAAAAAAAAAGATTATCTGAAATTGTGATCATATCAACGAATCAGGTGCAACTATTGCACCTACCTCCTATCCTCCCTAGGAACGCACGATGTTCTTTGAACATTATAGGGATTCCCTTTCGTGCGCTCCAAGCGATAAAAAAAAGTACCGCACGCCTCTGAAATAGCAGTCTCAAATGCAAGTTGTATGAAAAATTGCAAGATACCTAACGGATTCTTAAATTTTCTTATGACCCACAAGATCATGGGATTCAGAGCCAAATAATTTCTTTCTTGAAACATTAAATTTTGGGCCATTAAAAGGGTGGACCCCCCTATACCTCCCTCAAAACTGGGTTTACATAATTTTTAAAGCAAGAAGGAAATAGATGAGTATCTAAAAAGACGAGGGCATGCCAATTTCCAGAGGATCTAATTCATTATTTCAGATGATCTTTTTCCATCCGTAGATTTTCATCTAACTTACAGTGGCTGTAGCTAGGAGGGGGTGGATTCTAATGGATGGATGTTTGTTTATATGCGGAAAAAGTCATATTTTGATACCAACAATATGTCCTTATGGATGTTTCACAGAAAAAATTGAACACATGTTGCAGTCGTGAGGAATGACCACAAACAAATGATGTTTTTCTCTCATTTTCTCCATCTCTCCAAAACTACAATCATAAGTTTTCAATGACAATACCTAACTAACCTCCGATTTTCGTTCGGATGGTTCTAACAAATTACAAATGAAATTCTCGTGATATTTCCTATGCTCACGTCTATTTTTCCATTAACAGAAATGTTTACCAGATTGTTTCGGTATTTCAGACAGGTCTAGAGGGGGGGGGGTCCAGACCCCATGGACCACCCCCCCTTAATTACGCCACTGTCTATCGGAATGTCAGTTTCTTGAATGAAATGACTGATTGAAATTTTCTGAGTTAGTATGAAAATGCATCCAATAAAAAAAGTTCGAGTGTTTTTTGGCAAGATATAAATCAACGACAATATAATATAGAGGGAGTTTCGGAGTTGTGGTGACAAAAGCCTAGAGGAGATTCTTCCCAACCAAACATGAAAAAAAAACATATGAACATGGCTAGTAAAAAGCCTTGTTTCCAAGTTTGAAGAAAAAATTGTTTTTACTGATATCTTGAAAACGTTTGAGCCGATTTGGTTTATGCACACAACCATCGGACTATTACTGGACCAATTACATTCGAACCAGAATTTCCAGTGGCGTACCCATCGAGAAAGTCGTTTTTTTTTTGTAAAAAAAGCCACCTTGGTTTCGAGGAACATACAGTTTTACACACGTTTTACAGCGATAAAAAGGGTGCATAATTTTTTATCGATGTCAAAATGACATATCATATGTAATATCACACACACAGATACTATTTTGCAGGAAATATTCGGCGATTGTTACGACAGCTTGATGCCTAATAATTTCGCCGAATGACCTTGTTTATCAAAACTTTCGAGCTGTATTCGAGAAGTTTTGGAACAGTGTCATGAGCAAAATTAAAGCAGCAAGCTGGAGTATATCAATCGACGAATATTTCCTGGAAAAATAGTATCACGAGTTGTATTCGTATGAGTATTCCATGATTGAGACATAAACGAGCGGCTTGCGAGAGTTGCGCATGCACTGCATCCATCATTCTGGCTTCAAACATAATTGACATTTTCATACGTCCAAAATTTTATAGCTGAATAACGAGGAAGGTTGGTCACGTGCGGGTCAATTCGGTTTCTCTGTATTGGTAGAACAAGTCCGATAAAATTTAGGTAACAAAAAAATATCAGATAACACAGAAGAAACCGTGAAAATGGCCGATTCTAATAGATTCTAGAGACCAAGAGTGGAATAGTAGCTGGAAAACTTAGGGCAAAGTTTTGTCGTTGTCATAATGACAAAATCCCAATGCCTGGTGATTGGTCGGTTCTGGGATATTGAAGAAATCTCATAAGTCTTTGAATAGGCACTGTATAATGCCTGTTCCTCGAAAAGTGAAGTCAAGTGTGCACTATAGTTAAACTTTTCATTTCAGCTACAATTTCGGTAAAATAGGCAAAGTGGTATTTTTTAAAGCTGATTAAGATGGTGTTAGAAGAAAATGAATGATCTTCACAGTCAAGTGATATTCCCAAAAATGCGTACATATTTACTAATTTTTTTAGGAAGATCGTGATTATTTAGGCTTGACAGTATTCTTCGAAGCATATCATCGATACTAATTCAGAAAAAAGGGGTATTGAACAATTTTTATTCCTCGAAAGAGCAGATACATACAGTTCTGAAAATATTACATGACTCCGGTCTCCGGTGTTCAATTATTTTTTTCAGCTTCACCACCGTATTCGCTTGAAAAACTGAACTTTGAAACCATATAGCACTTGTACGAAAAATCAAAAGTATTAGTAATTATTGTCACTTGACGCGCTTTACTAAGTACAAAAAAGTTGTGTACCATATTAACCGCCAGTGAAAACTGACGTCACGATTTCGTAAGTAGGGGCAGACCATAGCATAGTTGCCATGTGTTGAAATACGATTGGGAACTTCAGAAATATTAGTTATTCTCAGCATTCAGCACAATGTTGTCAAGTCTCCAACATTCACATGATATTTTGTTATGGAGTATAAGAAATATTTGGACATGCTGGTTGCTCGAAAAAGTCAAGAATGAACTATAATATCATGGGTTCCTCCTATTATGTTTTATTCAACGACAGGACTCTAACATCTTTTTGATAACTTGATTATAATTGCATGGTGACCCTAACAACACCAGTACATCCTAGGGACTTCCCAAGGACGTCCCTGATTTTATACTAGGACATCCCAGGGATGTCCTTTGTCGGGACAACGTACATACTAGGGATGTCCCAGGGACATCCGCTGGCCACCAAAAAAGGCATCCAAGGGATGTCCTTCTGGTACGTCCCTGGGATGGACCAAGTACGATGAAAGGATATCCCTAGGACGTCCCAAGGATATCCCAGGGACATCTTTTCGACAAAAGCAAACAAGTTCTAGGTCGAGTAGGGATTGAACCCGGGACCTTTGGCTTATCATGCACGCACCTTGCTCCATTGGCTATCATGCCTCCTGAAGATTTATGTACTAAACAGATTTATAAACAGGACCTGCACTACAGAAACCTGAATAAATTCTACTTGGTTAGGAATTGGGTATAATTATTATCGTTCTTGGGTGTTTAAAAACGAGGGGCATTATGAATGTACGATTTCTGTCTGCGAAAAATGGTAATTTCTTAAGAAGTTCTGAGACTTTATTCTTTATTTTCATTACAATCATTTTCCGAAAGAAAAACAAACATTTTCAACTCAATAGTCGATGAAATTCAATGACTCTGATGTAAATGGATATCAGATACTCCAGGGACACGAATAGAATAGCCTAGGGATGTACCGGGCGGGATGTCCACTGGACAACCACTGCAGGACATCCCCTGGATGTTCCAATCATGTCCTTGTACCGCGGGACAAAAAAGGGAAGTACCAAGGACATCCCTGTGTTGTTAGGGGACTTGACAACCTTGCTTCGTGAGTGGGAATGGAAAATTATCTGACCAATAACGAAACAGCATAAAAGCTGCCGTCACCATTCATTCGACGTATCGCCAAATGGTGGCCATGGCGGTACGTTTGAAATGAGCTCTGAAAATCAACAATTTCGAACAACGCATACACTCATTATTTACATAAAACAAGTGTGAGAAGTGTTGCAAAAATCAATTTAGGTCCTCAACGACACAGTGAAGTAATTGAATGCCAATAAGTCCACTAGCCCCAATCCTGTGTTATGTGAGATTTAGTTGAATATTTTAACGGAAGATATGAACGCTCACTATAAAATGATTCAGATCTCATGGATTCTTGTATTCTTCAATTATCATCACGGGTTTCTGAGTGAACAAATCGTCATTTGCTGACTTCGCTAACAGATGACAGTATTGATATCTAAGTAGATATATTTAACAAGTAACTTTTAACGATGATACGAAAAAAATTGTTTTCTATAGAAATGTATCTGCTATATGCAGTATGAGGTTTAGGGACATATTTTGATTGTACAACCATTTTGTGATTGTTGAAAGCCTTGGGGTGTCTAAACTGAGATATTTCGTGAAATATTCAGTGTTACCCGGTTTTTGGTGATTACTTTAATATCATAATTAACTTAGTTGGGAATAGTATATTCACAAATAAATAGCTAGGTATTCCGATATGTGTTTAGCAAGACTTTTTCGTTTTAGCCTTTGTAACTCGGTTGTTGAAATCACCAATAAATTATTTGTGTGTGTAGGTTAATCGAGGAGGTACAATATTCATTCCTCTGAATTTGTGGATGTTTCTCTTATTTCTATGAATAAAAATATTATTATTATTTCAGTATATTATTATGACAAAAATGTCACTGCACTTGAAATTTTACGATTAGAAACCTAGAAGAGAAATTCAATCCATATTCAGTGAGACCTCTTGTTCAAATTGTTTGAAGAAGATTATATGGTAACCGATATTGGAATATATAAGATATTACTTATCTTTGAACGTTTTGGGAATGAATCTTGAATTTATCATTTTCATATTCAGATTTCAGGGGTGACATATGTTGGGGTAAATAATCTTATTTGTCCACATGAGTATATTGAAATAATATTAATATTTATATTCATAGAGACAAGAAGAGGAAATTCCAAGAATTTAAAGAAATGAATTATCTATTCTATTTCTCAAAGGCATCTAATATTTCGCCCAGCATCTTATCACAGATGTTTAAAACAATGAAGACTTAGGTGTAGCATAGTGAACTCAAAAAACTTACTGCTGCCTTCATATTCTCCAGTTCTTCCCTAATCGTTCTCTTGAAAAATCTCGCCTAAAAAAAATATGTATTTAGATTCTATGAAGTGAATTTCACAATCTGCTTTGTTTATTGATAGTTTCACAATTGGTTACTTACTTTAATGAGGCCATAAACCAACAATGCCAGCAGTAGAAGACCAGCTATGGCAGACAAAATTATAATCCAGAGGGCGACCTTCTTCTTCTTGATTACATCATTCACAAAAGCGGTAGACACATCTATAGATCTAAAAATAGATACATTTCAAATTAGAGAATTCTGCATGGAACTGATTGGTGCAAGAACTCCACTGAATCTTTATCTCGTGAGTTGTATAATAGCCATCGTGATTCTGATGACGTTTGAGGTGCAATAACACACACGTACGACATGGTTAAAAACTCACGATATACAGATTGTGTGCCCGATCTTTAGGTCATAGGAATGGCAACATAGCAAGAGACTGATTCGGCTATCGAACGTCTCGGCCAGTCTTCGCTGGAATATCTGAACATAATGAAAACTGAAATTCATTATGCGCCCAACTGTCTAGCGGTGAGAATTGCTCTCCGTGACCGCCATGTTGCCAAATGTCCTCCAATCTTAATACTCCTATATGTAATGATTCTATAAACAATCTGTAGGTATATTTTGATTAAAATTTCATGAACATTTATGGCAAATTTACTGTATGTGACACAGACTCATGGTACTGCTGTGGTACAACCACCTTTTCTACTTTGTTTCCCTTGTTATTTTTTTGAAAAACCATGAATATACTAACTAGAGAGCACTTTTTGACACGAAAAAAAAGTGTTGTGGCTAGTAATACTTGCCGAAAAAGTAAAACAACACGTTTTTTACTTGAAACCCTATTGGGGCATTTACATTAACTCTTTTACCGACGGCCACTATAGAAAATAGGCAAAACACACGAGATACAGCCTCAGTAATTAAGTAGCTCTTTACGCATAGTAAGCACATCACACAGTTTCGTTTATTTCGCCAGTATAGGTATGTCATGATCGCCTAATCGCCGTCAACAGCGGATGACATAACTTTCGTCCAAACTTTTTGATGTACTATAAAGCAGTAGGTATTTAGGTAATAGTATATTACGTAATATGTGCTGTAAGAAGCATATTACGCACGAATGGAAATGGTACGCACGTTGCGAGTGTGTAATTGCTTTACAACACGCATAACGTACTATACTATACCTACTGCCATAAAGACGGCGATTACGCGATCAAGACTGGCGGAATGAACGGAAACTGTGCGATGTGCTTACTGTGCGTAAAGAGCTACTTACTGAGACTGTATCTCGTGTGTTCTTGTCTACTTTCTATAGTGGCCATAGGCAAAGTATAGTACGTAATGCGTGTCGTAAAGCAATTACGCACTCGCCGCTCCGCGGGTACGTGCGTAACTTTTCCATTCGTGATGCGTAATATGCTTCTTACAACACATATTACGTAATATACTATTAATGTATTACCAATATGAACGAATTAATGTAGTTGAGAAAACAATAATTCATCAAGTTGACTGGAATACGAAATATCAACTATAAGGTATCATTGGATGCATAGGTTTCAAAAATTTTATATATAATAATAATAATAATAATAATAATAATAGGATTTTATTGTTTCAAACTATACAAGTTACATTTTACATTTTACAGTTCAGCTATATGGAGTTTGAAGACAGGGTGACTCATTGAAAAATCAAAAGGCGATATCATTTCATGCATTTCTGGGAGAAAGCAGTATTTGTATTTTTTATACTATACTCCAAATTTCAAAAAAATAGGTGGAGAAACAGAAGAAAATGAGGTGCACCATGATCCTCTGTCACACGGATATACTTTCAAAAAACTTGTTTAATGCTGTTACATATTTATCACGCAGGTCTTTCAACAGATACTTTTTATTCATATAACTGGATCGAATACATGTGACATGCTAATATTTGGAATTAAAAGTTTCACCTGACTCTGCTTCATTCAATATTTCAAATAGCTACCCTCCACAGTTGCAGTTTGCTAAGCAATTGTACCTCCTCTCTCATACTGACTAATCAAGATGGATCAACGAATTAAGTATACATGGTGAGTCAGTTTTTTCTAGCATGACTTCAACAGCTTGGTAGAGGTTTTCAAGATGAAAATCTCATGTTAACATATATGTGTCGGTCCGACAAACAGGCGGTGTGATATTTTTACATTTTTATGTGTTCTTCAAGTTTTGCTTTCGATCATTTCAGATCTTCTATCCAATTATTAAGAAATATCGAATAGAGTGTGTTCAAAAAATAAAGTTTTATTGCAAGTAAATTGAATTTGACATTTATCTTGAAATCAACACAGGTTTCGAAGAACACACAATAGGGGAAAAAGTATCGAAATGAAAGAGCTAATCTAAATCAACTTCTTATTGAGAGTAGGGGCAGCACGTAGACAAGTTCAAGAGGGTCAAATTGGGTACAACTCCCAAAAGTGTATCACCCTGTAGGTAATCAAAAACGCTTCATAGCTCCAAATGTTGAGTATTTGATGTGTAGTAGGTGAACCAAATTTCAATTCATAATTTTGCGAATTGTGGAAAAAAACTTGAAAAACACGAAAAAAATATCAAACTTTGACACCCTGTATATCGGAAACGAAGCTGCCCACATGCAATCTTGAAAATACGTGTTCATCAAGCTGTTGACGTCCTGCTACAAAAAACTGACTCACCCTGTATAATGAACAAATGATCAAATAAAAAGAGTAATTCGTAAATGTTTAGTTAGTTTAGTTCACGCACTATCTGAATAACCATTCACAGATCGTTCCGATCTTCAAACCACCGGCATAAATTACTAACTAGACCACTAATGCCATATAAGATCAAAGCTCATTCATTTACGAAATCGAGCTTGGTCCAATGAAGCGTGCGCATTTAGGACTCGTCATATATCTTACTCACTCTAACTTACGTTTCCGAACACCAAGAGACATGACTCGAAGTCATGAACGACAGTTTCGGAGTTTCTGCTCTTTTAGCAGAACCGTTTCCAGGCGAGCAATTTGGATGAGATGTTCGGGTTGGTTGGGACATATGACATAGAGCGGTCTAGATAGTAGATATGTCAGTGCCTTGGACCACTTGTCACAGGTATGTGAGAACCCTGTGAAACAGAACAGCACAGTGACCGCTGAATTGTTTTCGCGCGACTCAAATGCATAAAACTCAAATAACCATTTCCTACCTATTTCCACTCTTCGCAGTTTTGCCAATTTTGACTTTTCCGTGTGTTGAGAATAAAATTGTATCTTTACTTTCCATCAAATCTGAAATGAAAAAAAAAACATGAATGAACTAGTAGTGTTAGAGAGTCACTATTCATGGTAGCTAGAAACGCCCTGTAAGTACAGCTCCTGGGCGGATATGAGTGTTGACCTGTTGATGACACACGAGGATTATGTAAAGGGTGACGGGTAGTCAGTATTTATCTATGTATGATACATTATTAAATCAGCCGTGATATGGCCAGGTTGTGCGCGTGTAGTAATTATTGTGAATATAGTGGGAAATTGTGAATACAGAGTTCATTACAATAATCAATGACCAAGCTAACATCAGAAGTGGTCAAAAGATCAATCATGCCCAAGTCCAAGAAAAAGTCGACTATTTTCACAAAGTCATCAAGTAGTGAAAGCGATACCTGTTCCGATAGGGATGCCTGAGCCCTCGGAAGATGAGATGTCAACAGTTAGCCTAAGGAAACGCCGTCGAACTGATAGTTACAGATGTTTGCAACAAAGTATTAAGCAAGTAAGTCAAGTTTCTACTAGGGTGAATGACGCAAAACATGATCCTTGGAGTAGTAATATGATAATTTCAACTATAATTCCTGAATTCAACCCGATGAATGATAGTATTGAGAAGTGGTTGGAAATAATAGATTATTATGCTGGTGTATATGGTTGGAATGACTCAACTATCAAACATCATACTCTCGGTAAACTGAGAGGAACTGCGCAAATTTGGTACGAGGGGATGATTCGGAATGAATTGGGATGGTCAAAATGTACCTGGGAATATTGGAAAGAAATTTTAATGAGAACTTTCAAATCGAACCGAAATTTTTATAATAGTATATTATGTAACAAGTGTTATAAACGTCCTTTTAGTAACGAGTGTCTAGAAGAGTTTATAAACATTATTACATTAACATACCTGCAATTCCTGCTAACCTACAAAATAATTCGAAGGGAATGGGAATTGAGAACATAATACATGGTTGTAGATGTGTCCAGTCCATACTTAAGTACTGTGACAAATCAAGATTCGAGTTACACGCTGACCAAAGCAATAACTCACATGGCCAGTACTTCTCCACATTAGGCAGTGTAGTTTGTCTCTTCTAGAAATGCGTAGATTTTTGCAAAATACGCAAATTTGGTCTATTTTTAACTCGCTCTAGCTCCTCGCCCGTTACATTCATGAGGAAAAAAATTATATATGGAAAATGTCATCTTCTTCAACTAAAATGTATAGTTTCCGAGTTACGGACAAAAAATTAAAAAGGGCGAGAATTTCGCTGTTTTTTGCGAATATCTCGGAACGCTCAAAGAAATTTTGTTTGAAAAATCAGATTCTAATTCTGCACACCCAAAAACATGTAAAACCGCAGAGAAACCACGTGAAAATACCATTTTATTGGAATAGAATACGAATGTGAACTAACCTGAAATAGCAGATATATTGAACAGCATCCTAATTTCGATGGAGGCTAGAGACTCTTGCAACATGTCAAATTCACATATAATTGAGCTCCACTTTACAGCTTCAGAACTACTATTCAAATACAAAGTTTTGTTTGGAGTTAATTCTATTTCCTTGTCGTTGATTTTCACGTCTTCTTTATTGTGCGTCGAAACATTTTTGAACACTTCCACTTGGCGTTTTCGTCTGACATCACCGAATACATTTTCTTCTTCAGTTTGAGATCGTTTCAGTGATGCATATGTTAATTCACTTCGACAGGTCATTGGTTGACTACCAACAAACGAGATAGGCTCATACACTCCAATGAATGTGACTTCTTTTTGTAGAGAAACATATGTGTGAGGGATTTCTATCTCAACTGTGATATTCTCCAATGGACTCACCCCAATTTTTTCGATCTATATAGAAAGTAGATAAATGAGTAAAATAATTTCACATACTGTTGAGAAGTGAAATATTATGTCTAATAAATATCAGTATTTTACCTTGTAAGTGTGTGTTACATCCGATGTACCAGTAGTACTGTTTCCAAGGAAGTTACTTTGTTGTTCCGAGATCCTACAAGAAATCATACAGGGTGAATCATAAATATTAGGACATAGACAAAAATAATAGGGATAAAACTTCAAAATTCGAAAAATCAGGGGTATACAAACTCATCTGTGGATCTTGTCCTAAGGTATATATCGGTCAGACAGGTCAAACGTTAAATCACCGCATTCATGAACATAGGACGAATTTTTTGAAAAAGAAAAGGAATTCAACATACGCGAATCATATATTAGAAGAAAACTATAGTTTTGATGATAATTTCTAAATTTTACACGTAGAAAATAAAGGAACAAAACTCAATCATTTCGAATCATTAGAAATCAACAAACGCAAAAATTCAAACATTTTACATAACGATCAACTAGACCTCAATGATTCACCGCTGTTGAGTATGTTTTCTTAGTAGGTAATTATCCTTTTCAAGTTCCGGTAGGTACACCTAATTTAATGTAGATTATTCAGCGTATTTTCCGAAAATGAACACTTAATTAACCTTTCCACGGGTAGTTTTGATCCTTTAGTTTTGGAAGGTATGATATAAAAGTTCAGCTAGTCAATGTATATTTAGTTTATTGTACGAGTATTTCACTTGAAGAACCTATTGTGTATTAGCGAAACATGTTGTGATATTAACAATTTTGTGGAGATCTTGTCGTTTGTGAAGTTTTGTACATTCAATAAATATTGTTTTCATTCGCACTGATATCTTGTTTTATTGTATTCAAATCAAATTATTCTTTGACATGTTTTCAGTGAATTACTATATTGCAATATTTCTAAAATAAAATTAACTACCTAAGTCCTCAGTGTTCTCATCTTCATTAAAGTTGAGTGATGCATCTATAGGATTTCAAAATGTCCGCCTTATTCAACTGTGAAATGCTGACATGCTGCGCAGTAACAATCTTTGTCTCTCTGGGAGATACAGAAATATTGCCCTATTCATTCAATGTTGGCGTATTTTCCACACATTGTTAATTACCAGTCCATTTGAACGAATGAATAGTCTAAGTCTAAGGGGTAGAAACTTATTTCTTGTTTTCATAGGGAATTACTTTTTCCTATACGATTTATAATTCTGATAAGTATTTCTATAAACATTTTTCAACATGAATGAGAAAATTCATGAGGTGAGTTTATCAGTATCTAGCTATTCCTATTCTTTCTTGATATTCACGATCTTACCCAAATAATTTGATATCAGCCTCTCGCCTTAGTTCTAGTCCGTATCTAACAAAATTCTTACTATTCTCACTGGTTGTCACAATTGTGAAAAGCATTTGCAGCTCCTTTGCAGACGAAAACTTGTACAAATTTGTTTCCAAGTTCAGATCTAAATGGAGTATTCTCTGAAAAATATAAGTTTATTCATAGTTCTATAAAGCGAATGAAGTATATTGTTATTACCGTTGCATTTTTTCTCAGTGGGTTGTCAATAGTACAAATAACGGCCGAACCGTTTGTGAATATGTTTCTGCATCTGGCTGGTTTTTGTCTAAACGTAACTTCCGGTAATATAATCTGTAATTCTGTACCAAAAGCATTTTCTCCTGTGTTATCCAATACCACCTCTACTTCCAGGTTATTTCTTGATCCAAGTACAAAGGGCTCATTTTTCCTGAAAAACAATAGATGCAGACCGGTCATCGGAAAAAAATCAAAAAGCTTTTCGGGTAGTTGGAATCGATAAAAAAAATCGCTCGGACATAAATGAAATTCATTTTCGAGCTCGAGCCTTAATACCCTGAATAATAAAAAAACAAAACTGTTTTCAAGTTATCAAATATGTCAGTTGGAAAACAATTCTTTGATATTTATTGTATCTGATGTATTTGTACCTAAGATAAGAGGGCCAGTATTGGCATCTCGGAAACTACGAAAGATACAGATTTGGTTATAAGTAAGAAAAGTTGCGTGAGTGAAGGACCAATAAAATGATTTTCGAAAATCTCTGATATGCCATTTCGTTTTTGAGTTATTTCTAAAACTGAATTTCTGGCAACTTTTGATGCTTTTCGATTTGGCATCATCGATTTTCTGATCCAACATTTTGTCTTCGAGTAGCCATCATCAACTTGTCTTTTTCAAATACGGCCCTGATATATTGATATCAGATTCTAATAACCCTTTCCATTCTGATTCGCGCGATCAACTAAATATTTAGATAAAATGATAATTAATGTGAGGTAGACATTCATATTCAATACCTAACTGTTAGGCATAGTTTAACATTTTTTGCAATAACACGATAGCTAAGTAATAGATTGCATGGAACAAATGAAGAATTGAAAGTAAGGTGAAGAAATTAAAATGATTCTCCATTGGTTTTAGTTCACCAGTAGCGCCAGAAAGATTAAATATCAGATAATTCGAAAAAAAAAAAAAAGATACCCAGTAGTATAGCTCCGACGATCTATCAATACAGAATATTCATATTGCCGATAGTATCGTGCTCATAAAACTTCTAATCGATAGCTTTCGTTTGAACAGATGAGATTTCAAAACAAAAAATTGAAGCATATACAGGCTGACTGACAAAAAACGCCCCAAGCCATAGCGCCGCTATTTATTATCCGATTTTGAAAAACAAAAGAGCAAATGAAATGATATATCAGATACTACAAGGTGGCACTAACATTTTTTTTTTAAATTTCAACTCTAACGACGCCGATTGTCAATTTTATTTTTCAAATGTTAACAATATATTTTTAAATTTTTTCCGGGTTAGAAATTTTTTTCTGAATACAGTCATGTATAACAAGTTGATTTTTGCACAAAATTAGTTGACAAAAATCAATTCTCCGCCGACAAGAAATGGGTCTTTTCATTACATTGTCTATCGAGTCATTGAAGTGGCAGTAGATGTCTCAGAATCAACTATGGCCATGAGCTGTGAGTGTGACATTTGTTCCATATTTTCAAACAGCTCAAGATATTCATTCTTCAAAATAAAACGAAATATGAATAATAATCAACTGACCGACATGATACAAACGTACTTTGAATGCGGTAGAAATAGTGGTCAAGCATTGCGATTATACGTTGACCGATTTCCTGACAGAGAAGTTCCAGATCGTCGTAAATTTGCTCTAGAACGAAATTTGAGAAACTACGGAGCACTCAAGAAACCTAAACGAAAGGAACGTCAGTTCGATGAGGATGTCGAATTTGAAGTTCTTCTTAGTGTAGAAGAAAACCCAAGGACTTCTACTCGAGAAATTGCTAATAACATTGGCGTTTCGCAACAATCCGTGCAAGCAATACTCAAGAAGCACAAATTCATACCATACGTGCCCCAAAAAGTACAAGCACTAGTAGAAAATGATCGAGATCGAAGGGAACAATTTTGCAGGCATTTTCTGAATGCGATGCAACAAGATCGAACGTTTTATAGAAAAATTATTTGGACCGACGAGTGTACATTCACTAATAATGGCATTTTCAATAGAAACAACCACCGCTATTGGAGCCAAGAAAATCCAAGAATTATCGTTCCAACGAATTTTCAAAATAGATTCAGTGTGAATGTGTGGTGCGGTATTTGGTGCGATAGATTGATTGGTACATTTTTTATAGATGGCGCACTAAATCAACAGAGATATCACCAAATATTGCATCAAAATATCGAAAACTTTTTGGAGGAGTTGCCAGTTGCCGATCTGAACAGAATTTACTTTCAACAAGACAGAGCCCCTGCTCATAATGCCCAAATAAATGTTGAATGGTTGAATGCTACATTTGCTGAAAGATGGATTGGGACTTATGGACCAGTTCGATGGCCGCCAAGATCACCCGATCTCACGCCACTTGATTTTTGGTTGTGGGGGTATCTTGAAGATCGAGTTTATCTATCACGTCCAGAAAATTTAGAAACTCTGCAGCAGAGAATCATTGAAGTTTGTCGTGAAATACCTCCTAATTTTATCTGGAACGCAACTCATGGTGTAATTAGAAGGTTGTAACGGGACAATCAGGTTCCATGTCCTTCCGTTTCTTATTGCAGCCATTATATTCGCTATTTTTGATAGATAATAAATATAAATTCCTTTAGCCGTGTACATTTTGTTGTTGGGTAGGTACTCTGTCTACTAAATAATTGTTTAAATTTGTTTTGCTATAATCCTAATTTATTTGAGCATCATTGCGCCATCTACCAACGAGCCAATAAACTGCAAGATCATCCATGTTGGGGAGATGGTAGAAATCCATCAGTTGTTGTTGTTGGTGGTATACCCTACGGACAGGGGGCTCTACAGGTATGATTTTTCGATGAATTATTTTTTGCGCCATTCCACCACACATTTGATTGTGATAAAAACTAGTGTGGGAGATAAAGTTCTTGAACGAGGCCTTTTTGATAGCAAAACCTGAAGGCAGTCACACCTCTCTTCAAACTGACTCTCTAATAAAACTTTATGGTAGAACCTAAGGGTCTATAACAATTGCGAAAACACTTCGTTTTTGTGACCTGGTCAACTTTACAGGTAGGCGAAATTATGTATTTCTATAAATTTTTCCTCAATTTGAAACTTTTCTCCACGTGGTCATGAGCTTTGATTTTTGGTTAAGAATTATAATGATTTTCTCAGACTAGCTATTAACAATATTATCGACGTACTCAGAATCAGTTATTTCTCAAGTAGTTGCAAATGAAAGCATCAAATATGTCCTTAAAAGCATTTATTTTCACAAGTAATTCCAATTAATATAGTGTATTCTTGTTTCAACAATATTTGTATAAACTATATATATATATATCATGGTCAACTTTACAGTTTTAGTGAGACAGAGGATCGCCCTGTATATAGATGGCTATTTATATAATAACATGAAATAAAAATACTGAGTGGCTTGCGTAATCCTGTTATTTCTACGGCCTATGGTTACCAACACGGCCAGAACCCCCATAAAAAAACCCTGAGAAAATTGTATCATAGCAAGGTGTGAACTATGTGTTCAACAGGACGGGGGCCAGTTTGAGCAATAATTGTAGTTTCCTAAGATATTTTGTTTTCAAATAATCATTATTTTTCTAACATTGTAATGTATTTTTTTGTATAAGTGACGGACTCTACGTTCAATGACTCGATAGACAATGTAATGAAAATACCCATTTCTTGTCGGCGGAGAATTGATTTTTGTCAACTAATTTTGTGCAAAAATCAACTTGTTATACATGATTGCATTCAGGAAAAAAATCTCTATCAGAAAAAAAAAAAATTGAAAAATATATGTTTCCATTCGAAAAAAAAAGTTGACAATCGGCGTCGTTAGAGTTGGAATTTAAAAAAAAATTGTTAGTGCCACCTTGTAGTATCTGATATATCATTTCATTTGCTTTTTTGTTTTTCAAAACCGGATAATAAATAGCGGCGCTATGACTTGGGGCGTTTTTTGTCAGTCAGCCTGTATTGTAAACCAGTATCTTGACGAAAAAATAAGTATGTTTCAACATTTTCTATCGATTATCGTAGTTATAGAAGTCTAACCAGAGACCATTACTGCTACTGCCGAATGAAAAACATCTACTTAACTGATGTGAAGAGAAGAAAATAATTGTACATACCCCAAACCCGCGATATTTATACTGATACTCAAATTTGATTGGCAAATATCGTCATCTCCACAATCCCTGGTAAAAGGAATATCGAATTCCTTATATGTTTCGTTCGAGCGATATTCATCCAAAACGGGACACCGTATACACAATTCGTCCTTGTTTTCGAGTACACTTTCCGAAATATATGTTATCCCCTTCTCTGTTGAATTGTAGTTCAGTCTATACGAAAATACTGCTTTTATAGATGAGCTAAGATTTTCTGACTCCTGCAAAAAAAAAGGTTTGAACATTGCTAAGCAGTTTTTATATGATTCGTGTTCTCACCTCAACAGTTACATTGATAGAATCACATGTAAGGTTTCCTTTAGTTATAACGAGATTTCTAATGATAGTTTCATTGCCAAATATATTTGCTCGACCTACTACTTTTATTTCGTAGATAATATCTAAAAACAAATCATATCTCTTGAAAATGTTGTTTCATAACTCAGCCCAAACGTTCAAGGAACTGATTTCCAGGGGAAACTATCATAATACGACATTTTCTCGAAAAAGCCGCCCGCGTTTTTGTGATCCAACAAGTATTATTGTTCGCCGTTGTAGAATGTCGAGTGATGTGAACACATTTGAAAATAAGCGTGGCGGGGAAAACGAGGTAGTCTCAAGATTTAAAACAAAGTCATAGATTTCATTTCAGGATGGGTAGGTGATATTACATTAGTATCAACTAGAGTTCCTAAATGTACTTGACACTGCTGTTTTGACGTTTTTTGTATATCAGAGTACGGACACTATGACAAGAACTGACAATCAGACATAACGCATAACGCATTCTTATCAGGTACACTTCAGAACGGAAGATTTGATGTTGAAGAATAGGACCGTATTGAGAGAAAGAGCCGAACCCACAATTTATAAACTGAGCGAGTATCGAAAAGAACCTTATTCCAAATCAGAACCAACAACAAACGAAAAACTTGCAGATAATGAAATTCATTTCGAACATATTTTGAAAGAAAAAGACTTGAGAATCGAATTTTTAGAGCAGGAATATTAAAAAATCCAAGGTTTACGAGTGGCAGAGAGTGAGGAATTCAGGAAACAAATAGAAGAAAAAAATAGAGAGTTGGAAGATAAGTTAAAGCAAAAAGATTTAGATACAAAAGAGTTAGCGAAATTTAGAACTATCACCTAAAAATTATTTCACATTCGAAACAAAATCAGCAAATATCAGAAATACAAGAAAATTGAACAAGCAAATATCCTGGTACCGAATGGAACATTTGAATGAAAAATTGAATAATATGTGTGAAAATGTTGCTTTATATGAGCATGATTCATATCAAAATTCGAAATTTAATGGTAACAGATGGGATGCAAAAAGTTTGGAGAAAGCGTTGGTGATCAAATTCACGTGTGGTTCATCTGGTTACAATAGTTTATTGAAATTTCAATACGAATTACCATCACTGCGTACTCTGAATAGACGAATTTCGAACAAAATCTCCAACCCGGTATTTTGAATGAAATTTTTAATTTTCTGATCACAATAGCCACCATGTAGATCATGGTCGATCATCTGATGATGAAACAGCAGCAACTTCCTGAATTGACTGACTCAAACCGATTTCCCTTCCTGTTCAACCGGGAATTCTTTAGATCATCTTCGTATACGAACTCTTATAATAATTTTGTGAAAACATATAGTCACTTTGTGGAACTCTCTTATGTACCAGATATTGATGTATCTATATCAAAGAGTTGAATATATTGTTCGTGTATCGCTTCTTCAAAGTTGAAATCCCAAGTCTGAATGTGTATGTTCATCATGCGTAGTTGAGAAGTGCTAGACGACTTCATAGCTCCTAGTGGATATTGAACCACTTCTTGGGTACCAAGATACGAGCAAGATATTATCAGAGCACAGAACAAGAACGCTTAACGAGTGCACCGTTTATATTATTAGGTATTGAAAATGATCTTCCGATGGCCGGGTTCAAACCAACAATGTGAGTCGAGTCCATTTATACCTACTTCCGTATGTCTTGGAGAACCTGTATTATTTATCCTAACTGAAACCAGCTGTTATTGTTGCCATATCATTTGTTCATTTATTAATTACTTAGTGAGTAATACTCTTGTACAAGTGAAATCGTTCCATACAAAATAAAAGTATGTTTCATTGGTTGAAATTTATCAGTTTTTACCCCATTCTGAACTTTTTTGATATAAAAATATTCAACTGAACGTATATGTATATATACCTACATATAAGAGACTTATTTCATAGGAACAGTATATGTATTTCGTTGGTTTATATGTACATACCAACTTGATATCGACCTCCATTGAGGTTCTTTAGCCTTATCATTCGATATATATTTCGAGAAGAAATTATTTTCTAATCAATTCATCGTACCCTTTTACCCACTCGAGGAGACGCTATGCACTCTCATACAAAAATCTAAAACAGAGAAATATATATGGATGTACTTTTCCCAGGACTTGTGGAGGAAGGAAGATGCGAGGATCCTTTATATAAGTGAAAAATATCTTCTTGTCCTTGTCTGGCAAAACTATGATTTGATTTAAAATCGTTTGTGGGTATGTTTGATTGTCACTGCTTGTCTAGTGTCCGTACTCTAATATACAAAAAACGTCAAAACAGCAGTGTCAAGTAGAGTCACTGGATGGTATTAGTTTTATAAGAGTTAGGACACAGCTGAACTTTTGTCCTTTTCTATTTTCTATAATACAATGGTTTAAGTGAATAAAAGAATAAGACATATATTCTGCTCTTTGTCTTTTCAATTTCCCTAGTAGCGCCTGATTGTCAGATATGATTTTAGAGGTTATATTTTCTGTCAAATCAATCATAGCCGTAGATGGACAATGGATATAGGGTACAAACACCCACTTCGATTCATAGTGATACACTTCTAGCAGAGCAAGATTTATACAGGGTGACCCAGGGTTAAACCGCCAAACGTTAAGGGTCGGTTATTTGGGCAAAAATAAAACTTTTTTTCTAATGAACATATGTCCTAACTTGCTTTGTTTTCGATATACAAGGTGTCAAAGTTTTCAGAAAAAATCGGTTCTTCATTAATTACGGCTTGAACTTACGGCAGATTTCGATGAAACTTGGTATGCTCATTTGCGGTGAAACGGAGCTCCATTTGATGTAATCCGAATTAAATTATTTCCATTGGCGTCCCAGAAAGTAATCAAAATGATATAAGGATATTTTTGTTTTATTATTTTATTTTATTAGGAAACTGATAACGTAATAGAGACTAACTGATATTAGGACAAGTCATTGTATGACTTTTTTTGTATGTTCAATATTGGTACTCTGCGGGAAAGGATCATTCATGCAGAGATTACACCAGCAGAGTGCCGTGCAGCTGCAGAATAAGTCGTCCGTAGGTGCGAACTTTGCATCGAGAAAGATGGTGTTCATTTTGAGCAGTTCATGTGATTCTTGGAGCTCCGTTTCACCGCAAATAAGCATACCAAGTTTCATCGAAATCTGCCGTAAGTTCAAGCCGTAATTAATGAAGAACCGATTTTTTCTGAAAACTTCGACACCTTGTATATCGAAATCAAAGCAAGTTACGACAAATGTTTATTGGAAAAAAAGTCTTATTTTTGCCCAAATAACCGACCCTTAACGTTTGGCGGTTTAACCCTGGGTCACCCTGTATAAATGAAAAAAAAAATGCATGTAACAACATTTTGATATCAGAGAATATATACATTTATGGATACACTTATAGCTATAATTCCTTATTGTATGTGGAACTGTACTCCAGTGAAGTATTCCTGAGACAATTTTAAGAAATAAAGTCTATATAAGCTTGTGCCTGGAAATGCTTCATTTCGGAGATACAGGGTGTTGAAATACAGAGAACAAATCATTTTTCGATAAAGATTTCATGGGAGAAAAGTAATTTATTTTGACGAGACCTACCAAATACTAGGTTTTGTTAAGTTCTCAGCAACTTCACTTAGCGCCCTAGGAGCTATATATACCTCCAGCGTAATTGAGGCCCTTATAATAATTCCCTTGATACATATTTCAAACTCTATTCCTAGTCTTTTATCAGCTTGGAGGACTGTTGTTCTTCCGTATAATGCGAATTTAGGTGAACAACCCAAGTATTCATTATAATCTGGATAACACTTAATGAATGTTCTCAAAGTTCTCACAGATCTTTCTGCTAATCCATTTCTGCTTGGATGATATGGAGTCGACGGAATCAATTGTATGCCCTCAGATAATGCCAATTCTTTGAATTCTCCTGAGGTAAAAGATCGTCCACAATCTGTCACAATATTTTTTATTTTGTTTTCAAAAGGAAATTCACTAAAATATTCTCTCAATGCTCTACCTGTTTCTTTCATAGCTTTTGCAGAAACATGTCTACTTGCTTCATTCACTATAACCAAAAAAGATTGAGTATTCCTATTCAGATCTGATTTTTTACTTAATTCTGCGAAATCCAGGTGAATTGTTTCGTACGGCTCCTGAGCACATGACGTCGAATGAACATAATTGGACTTAGGTAAGTACTTGAATTTCACCTTCTGACAGAATGGTTGTAGGCATGTTTTATCAATCTTTTGAAGTAATCAAGAGACGGTATCATTGACTCATTTTTCGGAACTATAGCACTACAAAAGCAATCAAAAGTGTATATATATGAGATATATCCGGGAAAAAAGTACCAACTTTTTCCCCGTCATAGAAGAAAACCCATTATTTTATCTTACTAAAATGAAATCGCAAAACTAAATACACAGTTTGTAGGTACTCACCAACAGTTTCTTCACTGTGAATAGAGTATGAAAAACAAATATTCAACAAGAAAGAAGTCGAATCCAATTTCAATACACTAGGAGCTGCAAGAAGATTATAGTGTACGACGACTATTGGACGACTTCTCAGAAGCACAGCATTGCCTGATAAATAAGCACCTATCGCCAAATCTGAAATAAGAATAATACAATGCGTTGCTATTAATTTCATTGAATATTTCCCTCATACAGGGTGGCCCTTTGAAAACGAAACAGAGGCTCTGTAGGTCGCCAAAACCGGATCATGAAAAAACTCTGACATCGTTTTAAAATATTTTCAGCCCTGCGGCGTTGTCGCTTCTAACGGAAAGAAGCAACAACTTTGTTATTTCAAATGGAACACCTTGTATTTCAGTGCATATTTAGATTCTCCTCGAAGAGCTGATTTCATCAATGTATCACACTTGGGATCTAGCGGCAATGATTAGAGAGCTATAGGGTGTTCAAAATCGATATTTTTCAACTTAAGGATTTTTTTGGTCATAGCGGTTCATATAACCCTATATCAACTTTCGATTCACTATCTACTGACATTTATTTGAAACAAATAAAGGGTGGTTCAAGATTTAGAATTCTGATCACCCTGTATCTGTTCCAATTTGATGTCAGTAGATAGTAAATTGAAAGTTGAGATAGGGACATACGAGCTGCTTTGACCAATAATGAATAGTTTCGTCACAAAAGAATCTTAAAGTTGAAAAATCTCGATTTTGAACAGCTTATACCCCTGAAATCATTCCAGCTAGACCCCAAGTATGACGCATTGATGAAATCAGCTCTTCGGGGATAATCTAAAAATGCAATGAAATACAAGGTGTTCTATTTGAAATAACAAAGTTGTTGCTTCTTTTCGTTAAAAGCGGCAACGCCGGCAGAACCGAAAATGTTCTAGGTCGATAGCCCCCTCGAAAATATAGTTAACGTGTTCAACTTTTCTTTTATAATCCGGTTTTGGCGACCTACACAGCCTCTGTTTCGTTTTCAAAGGGTCACCCTGTATATAAAATGTCCCATGAGAGCAAAGCAATCATCGAAAACTTACAGCGAAGATTGCACTGCCAGAAAAATCTACGGCACAGCGATTTATTTGCTGCCATTCTTCCGGACATACTTCCGTCATGTGTTAACGAGTTGAAACAAAGAGCAAATGAAAGGGAATAATGTCCTCTTTGCGAACATCCAAACGTGCCGCTATTTAAACTGAGCTAAGTTAACCCTTTGAGGCCGGAATTTATTTACTTGATATATTTTAATAAAAAATGCACAAATTCATTCACATGTGATTCTAGAAGGTGTATACAGGCTGATTCACGGTGGATGACACATTAGACGTTTCTGGTGAACCAGACAACGGATCATTTTGAAAATCCAATGGGAGGCATATTCGTACATTCCCTAGCCAACTAAAATATTTTCGACAATGCGGTGTTGCAGCTTCTATTAGAAAGCAGTAGCAACTTTGATTTTTCGAATGGAACACTCTGTATTTTATTGCATTTTTAGATTCTCCCTGAAGAGCTGATTTCATCGATGTATCACACTTGGGGTCTAGCGGAAATGATTACAGAGATATAGGGTGTGAAAAATCGACATTTTTCAACTTTAGGATTTTTTTGTGTCGAAACTATTCATCATTGGTCAAAACGGCTCACATGTCCCTATCTCAACTTTTGATTAACTATCTACTGATATTTAATTGGGACATATACCGGGTGATCAAGATTCTGAATTCTGCACCACCCTGTATTTGTTTCAATTAAATGTTAGTAGATAGTTGATCAAAAGTTGAGATAGGGACATGTGAGCCGTTTTGACCAATAATGAATAGTTTCGACAAAAAAAATTCCTAATGTTGAAAAATGTCGATTTTTCACACCCTATATATCTGTAATCATTTCCGCTAGACCCCAAGTGTGATATATCGATGAAATCTGCTTTCCAGGGAGAATCTTAAAATGCAATGAAATACAGAGTGTTCCATTTGAAAAATCAAAGTTGCTACTGCTTTCTAATATAAGCGGCAACACCGCATTGTCGAAAATATTTTAGTTGGCTAGAGAATGTCCGAATATGCCCTCCAATGAATTTTCAAAATGATCCGTTGTCTGGTTCACCATAAACGTCTAATGTGCCATCCACCGTGAATCAGCCTGTATATGCATGTCAATTTATTTTCAGACCTTGGCTGAAGGCTTCAGGACGTGTCCTCGGTTTGAAGACACTACCTAGGCAATAAACATTGTTCAAATCACACAAGATGATTTACCACCAATTCATTTCAGTCGAGATTGACGCAGTGGACGAGCGCCCGACTCATGACCGCGAAGTCGTGGGTTCGAATCCCAGCCAGGGCAAGGAATGTTTCCAATATTTGATTCAATATTGTTGAGTTTTGGAGCATCGGCTGGGGATAGTCCGGCACGATTCACGATTGCCTTCTAATTCACAGTGCTGCTTTTAAATTAGCGTATGGAGTTAGTAACAAAGCCTGCACAAAACACACAATGCAGAACACTTTGGGCTAATCGACCTCAACTTAGGTCGTTGACCAGTTAGTGTGTACATATATACCAAGGAAGTGCATACACTACTACTATTTCAGTTATCAATATAATAACAAATGTTTATTGGGATGATATTGAAAGAAACAATGTTTCTGGTCGCTGAGACATAATCTCACATCAAAAGTAGAGCGAAATGAGAACAATTTTTATCTGAACGAAAAAACAGTAGAGGTACTCTTTTCCTTGCGTCCACAACGTGAGATCACCAACTTTCTGGCGAAAAATAAAATTATTCATCGATAGAATTCTCATTTTCCCACTACTATGACATTTTTCAATGAGTTTTTCACTATTTTGCAAAAGAAACCTCACTTGCTATATTGAAATAATAGACGAAAAAATAGAATGAAACAGTTGATTAGCAAAGGCAGTACGGAACCATGTTCATTAATCTAAAACAAATGTCTTCTCTTGCGAATAAGCGGAATAGTACGGGTTCCTATCAAGAGAAGGGACATTTACGCATGCACTTAAGAATGTGGCTAAAAACTATTAGAGCTGTGTCTTCATATATCGCAACCACAAAGGGTTAATGGCAGAGCGTCAGTATTTCCGAGAATATTTGTCCCCTCTCTCAAGATAATATCCGATGGACCAGTTTGAAATTCAACATGCTTGTAGAGCGAGCATCACAGTGGTCCATCGAATATTATCCCTCGACAGGAACGAACAATTTTGGGAAATACTGACGCTCTGCCACAAACTTAGCTCAGTTTGAATCGTGACTCGTTTGGATATTCGCAAATTCGGTTTCACTGAATATTCAACAACAAGATTCGATTTTTTGATTGCTTGTTCTATTTGAAGAATTAAAATACCTCTGCAAATTTTTGATTTATGGCTTTGTTTTTAAGATACTTATTCGAATTCAAAGGGTTGCAAAAAGGCTACAATTTTTGAGGTTCTGTGCTGGCTGTGACTAGTATAGCTTTCAATATTCTCCATGAAGTACAGGGTGATCAGTTAAGGGTAGCGAGCGGCCATATTTCATAAGATATTGGTCGTTTAGATTTGAGAAAAAAAAATCATGATAAAAGTCGCCAAGAGAAATTGCTGGAAATTATTTTCGAGTTTGTCAAACGTCCTCTAGAGGGCGTAACAACCAACACCAAGTAGAAGAATAGGATTTTTATAGAATTTTGTCTAATGAAAGTATATTGATGATATCATTTTCATATTTACTGACCATTTTCCTACATTTTTTGTCTGAAACGTTTTGTTTTATCTATCAAAATAAAGCGGTGGGGGGAGTTCGATTGTTTTTTTAATCGAACCAAGATTTCTCCCGTTTATTTAGACCGATTTTAGCAAACTTAAGCTCATATGAAAGAGCATAATTTGCCCTACAAACCGCTTATTTGGGATCGAATTTTTGACTTTTGCTGTCGCCGATAAATGGCGTTAACTGAAATGTTAGCAAATTTTTGAGTTAAAAAAAAATCAGATGTAATGTGTAACGAAGTTACAGTCATTTATTTTCAGTTGAACATTTCTTTCGTGATTACTTTCATTTTCATTTATTCATTTCATTCGTATTCTGTAAAAGTTCAGAGCGGCTGATGAATAATTAAATAAAACCGGGCTGGATACTTTTTGCAAATTTGATTTGATTTATATATTAATCAATTCCGCGGATATTAGATTTAAAACTCTCACACGTATGATATGGCTTCGCATTCGATACGGCAATGCTCGCGCAGCGCGCTTCCCTCTCTCAGTCAAGAGTGGAGGCACGCGCTACGAAATGGAATCGCGAAGACAGGAGTTAGGCAGTTCACGCCGAGATCGACTACAGAGCGCTTGGGCCACATTAGAAGACCGATACCGAGGAGAGGGAGATACCGAGAGGATACGAGAGGAACCGAACAGACCGGAGCTACCAGAGCCTGTATCATTGGCAAGGCAGTCAACAGCCAGACACCGACCGGAGAAGAAGCACCGCAGTACAACCGAGCACCGAAGACCGAGTTGCATAGCAAGCAAGCAATTGGGTGAGAGTACTGAGATATACGATTTTATAAATATAAAGTATTGCATTATAATATATAATTATATTATGAGTTAGTGTTTTCTTGGTAGAATATGTCGAGCTCTCTTACTCTTCAAGAACGGTGACTCATCGACTTGAATAGTGGAAAGCTGCTTAGCTGAAGTGTACCTTCCTGTGAAAACGGTGACTCATCGAGTCACAGTGGGGTGCATTGAATTCTTCACGAAAACGGTGGCTCATCGAGTCGTGAAGTATTCCCCAGCATAGCGAACCTGTCCCCTGGTGGCTCATCAAGGGTGAGGTTACGACTCACAGGGAATTTCGGGATAACAAAGGTGACTCATCTAGTTATCCATAAATTCATAGGATGCACTATAGTAGGTTGCTTCGCTTGGTGTTGAGCTTTTTACTAGATCTGCTTGCTTTTCTCGCTTGTTCTCACTAGTTTTTGAGCTGGAATGTACTATCTGCTAAGTCGATGCTCACTGCCGGCATCCGATTTTTTTAACGCGATTTATCGTGAGAGGGTCACTCCGGTTTGATCATGATAATAACTAGAGCGACGGAACGCGTGGGTT